CTGTTTTCGTTTATAAAAAGTCTCGCCGCCGTTATTCATCCCCGGATGCACTGGTTTTGAACTCTATTAGGAGCTGTTCGAGGAGAAAAATACATGAATAGCAGAGCGGAATCGGGTGGCGGCATTCCGACATTTCTTTAGGCTCGTTTTTGCAAGAACCAATTCTGCCCGAGTTTTTATGTCGATTTATGTGTGAAGAAAAACTCATTTTGGAGCATTAGCACTTCAGTGGTGCACTTCTTTGAGTAGGCAATCGATGGGTAGAAATGCTGGACGGACGTGTTATCGGCGGCTACCCGTTATTCCCGAGTTCTTTGAAAAGTACGTCCAGCCAGTTACTTGTACTTAGCAGACTGACAGTTGTGATTTACAACTAAGCAGTTCATCCAGTAGTTCATGCACCAGAAACCGACATTTCACATACATCTATGACGGTTTGTCATTTACCCAGAGAGCTGAAAGGGTGATCGCCGCGTGCGGCTTCACGATGACGGCAACGGCCGCCGCGGCAGGAACCGGCACGTGTCCTCGCCTCCGGTGGCTCCGCCTACTCGAGCTCCCCATACACCATCCTCGAGCTCCCATGTATACATACATATAGCTCATACGTTCGACTTCGAAATTCAAGGATGACTTGTCTGGGAACCGCCGACTGGCTGCAATTCTCTTTTACTTCTTCTTCTTTCGCGTTTTTACTACTAATTAGCTACTCCTTCATCGTTGTCTACTGGTCGACTCGTTCCACCCTCGATGCACTACGAACGTTGTTCTAGCTAACTCGATCACTCATACTCATAGTCTCACGTCAGTCTAGTCACCAGTCCGCAATGGTCCCCCAAAAGGGAGCAGTTTTTTCTTCATTCCATCTAATTCACTGGCTAAATCCCACGCTGCCTCACACTTCCGAAGCTTGATGGCATAACGTGCCTCAGGCGACATCTTTTGCGAGAAAGATTCCCAAGTTCTTCTATTTCTTGTGCCTCTACGGCATCTCTCAAATCTCTAAATGGCCTGTTCTTGAGTGCTTTAATAGAGCGAGGAAAGAAAACAAAACTTATGAGCTGCATTCGAAGCGTCAATAACGTCGCCTCATGCCCCAGAGCCGACGCCATAGCTCACATGGCTCACACTGAAGAAAAACTTCTTTCGAGCTCATAAACTTCTTTCTTTTCGTGCAAATCGTTTCCTTGCCTCGAAAACTTTTATAGCCTATAAAGTATGCTTTCGATTGGTTTCAATAATAGCTTTGGGTGAACTTTGGTGTTTCTACCTACAAACTACTTCTAAAAGTAATGAATCCACGTTCCCCTGCGGTGGTGGCAACTATAAGGGTTGTGTGAAGGAGGCTTCTGATTCCATGGAAAAAGGGCATGCCAGAATCCTTCTTGCCGACTTATCCGCTTTGGATTGCTAGAAACAGCCAGAGATGACTAAGTATTGAATATGCTCGGTGGCAATGGATACGCAGGTCGATTCAGTCGGTCTCCGTTCCTCTCTCTCCGTTACTCATCCGCTACGACTAAAGTCCGGTGCGGCAATGTTCCAAATGACTTCCGCTCAGTAAATGATCGTCCTAACGGCATCTCATCGACGTAATTCAATCCAATAATCGAATCTTAGTCACTTTGACATCCCGTTAATACGCCAGAAATGCGTTAATATCAGAAAACGTGCCATTAATGCCATTCCTCACGCATCAGAAGCCATTAGATAGATAAGGAGGCAGCGAAAGTTACTGCAGTAGACTTTCCAAATTTATGCCCCTTCATCGTTCGTAAACAAATAATTCGTAAACACGATTCAGAAGCATTGGATTGCGAAAAGCTTGCCATTGTTAATCCTTCTGGGACTCATCATCGATCCAGTAGAATCATAAAGAGTCCTTAAGACCTCGGAATTGCCAAATCCCTTTGGAAAATGGAAAAACAAGTTCCGTCCATCGAAGCCATGGTACTAGGCGAGCCCATATTTCAAGAATCTCTATAAGCAGGGATGATAGATCCTCTGACTGGATCTTTGGATATCAGAGGAGCAGAGGACCGACCAGATCCCGACGGGATATACTGCATGTTCTGAGTAAAGCGATGAAGCCCCCCAGTCCGGGCTAAGTCAGTCCATGCATCGCCCCTCTCCGAAGAAACTGATGGGTTTCGCTCAGTTGCTAGGTCAATGGGAACCTGTTGATGTGAATTTTTATGGGGTCCTTGACGTCATCAGGAAGAATTCTCGACCTCGCCCCCTTTCTTGATCCTTCCACCATCTCGCCTACTCTTCCAAAAGTCATAAGTTCCAAACAATCCGTCCCTTTCGGATTCCAGCGCTGGTCTCTCAGGCTGCCTCGGGTTCATCGGGTTCTCCTGCAACGGAAGCCTCGATGATTAAGCCATGGTAACTATATTAGGCTTTCATTGGGGTCCCAGAGGAGATGAATTGGTTGCCTAGGAGGTCTATAGATTCACAACAACAGATTCTCGTGTTATTGACGAGGACGACGGAAGGTAGAGGTCGATTGGATTGTCCATCAATTTCAATCAAGCAGTCCGTACCGCACAGCTGTTGTTCGTTGTCAAAACACAAGTGCTTCGAATTGTACGGGATTCGATTTGAGTATAAAACCCTAATGCCACCGCGTTTCCGACGTGAACGAAAAGCATCACATGACGGATCGAGTACAAGTGCACTCCAGCCTTTTTTTTTTCTCTTGAGAGCCTATTCATAGCCATATTTCACAAAACTTTGATAGCCAATTTCATCTACAGCCGCTATAATTGACATTTATACTCATGTTCCCTTTCCAAAATTGCCCATGCCGTTTTTCGTTACCCATAGAAGCGTATGCCGGTCCACAAGAAGAATCCGATCCAGGATATACCACCGCGACAACTTTGCTCGGCTAGTTCCATTCGTCCTCTGATTCTTGAGAAGGTCTCTGGGCAGGAAGCCCTTCCCGAAAACAATCTGATGTTCCCTTTTCTCCTGCTCCTCCCGTCCTGATCAGGCTTCCGTTTCCTGGCAGCAGAGATCAGGACTTCGAGTCCTAACAATATCCCGTACTATTTTGAATCTTTCGTTCGCAATTTCACAAAAACCATCACACCCTCACTTGATTGAATTCAAGTATTCGTATAATTCACTTTCAAATGTCTGTGGCTAGCTCTTGGCGAAGCATTCGCTTTATTCACGAATGTACTTTCATCCCACTTATCCTTTAATCATCGATTTCTCTTCAATCTTCTCGGAACCTCTTGAAAATTCATCGAATTCTAGTGAGGGGGAAAAAGACGTTGAATGGGATAAAAGTCTTCGATTTTTCCGATTCTTTTGTTTTCGAAGGAATTTGTACTTGAGACTTGCATTAATTAGTTTTAAAATACCAAATAACCTAATTAAAGGTCTCACTTTGTCTCTAACTCCCTTCTCAGTGGCAAAGAACTTTCTGGAAACTTTTTTGGTCAGCCATTTTTCTTTTGAAAGACCAGAGAGAACAAATTAAGATGGCTTTTCTGGTTTTGAAAATGAATCAATCTGGAAGTTACGCTGAGCTTTCCTTTACTTTCCAGAAACCCATGGGAAATTGAATGTATTCATACCCAATCCATTTTGGGATCCTTCAGGCTGGGCTTGGTACCTGTTGGCAGGTCCTCGGACGGTTACACTTCCGGTTAGCCGGAACTCGATCTATTGACCGCCTTAGTGGCTCTCACTGCCGCTACACCATCTGGGCCCTGATTGTCCTTGGGACGCTTTTCAATCCTTCGACATGAATTATGATTGTGCTCGAGGGAATGTGGCTATCAATTTTCCCAGGAAAGAGCGCAACCACGAGACCATAAAAAATGGCCGCTTTCGATAGGTATTCTGGCATAGCCGACCTTTTCAGCTCTATGTACTTTCTTTGAAGGAAAAATGAGAAAAGACGGATCGATAAAAGTACATGGGATGATTCCTAGTGCTTAACTTAGTGCAGTAGTACAAGCCACAAAATCCTGAGCGACATGTCCTCAATAATTCATATCCCCCTCAAACTCCTACACTGCCAAAGGTCAAGAGCAAGTGATATATCGGGACAGAAGCCAGAAAGCTGTCCAGCTCTTGAATTCTGAGCACTTTGGAAGGGAGGGAGAGGGGGAGGAGGACAAGTGTGCCGAAAACTTTCACCTCAACTGTCTCCAGAGAGTAGACAGCCCGCCGGCTGCAACCCTCTCTTTACGGCATATATCTGACGAGGGAAGTGTATAGCAACGACTACTGCTTGTGCTGTTTCTGACAAGCTCCTATGCCGTTATCGGATATTGGAAAGAACTTGTGGGTAACGACGAGGGTATCCTTCGCTTTCGATTTCTCGGTATTCCTCTTTTCAGTAGTATTCTTTTCTTCCTACCCATTTGCATAGAAAGGGGACAGGCGCACGTAGAATATTACTTTGACGGGAAACAGAGCCGCCCTTTTTATTGAGCTAGTGGACACCCACCCATTCTTCTCTGGACACATTGATGTCGTGCCAGTCTCAGCCACCCACACAAGCCTTCAGTGACTTCCTTTCCATCATCAAGCCATGTCTAATCCACATGTTAGTAAAAACGCCAACAGAATAACGCCTCATACTCTCTTTCGAGCTTCACACAGGCGCCTAATCGATTGCACTAATTCGAGTGATGACCATAAAAGGAGAGCCTGAGGAAAGCTCTGCCGCTGCCCTTTCCTTTTTCAAAAACCCCCCTCTGCGCATTAGCATCAGTGCCAGGCTCAGCTTTTACTACCGATTTCACAGCCCTTATAATCCACCCAAGCTAAAGGCCTGGTTTCACCTCAAGTAGTTCGTAGACTCTAGAAAGTTCACGTCTTCAGAAAACCTATAGATTCCGAAGAAGTCCCAGAACAGTCCTCATCCAAGTTTTAGGCTTTAGTCCGAGTAGGCCTGCCTCAATTAATAGGCATAGTTAAAGGCCTAGGCTTTTTTATCGCTGATGAGCTAATCGATATTTCATACGGTAGTCGAATTACATCCAAAAGTCGTTACCTAAATGCTGTAAGCTACCAGTGTAGGCAGTCATAAAGCCACTGAGCAGCAGCTGTGGGCCTGCTTCGTAATGTTCTGACTTGTTCTCCTTGATCACTATTAAAATGTGAACAACTATAAACCCTATTGGAAAAAGATTTTGACAACCCGTTAAATGCATGCAAAACATAGTCATTGATCGATTCGTTTTTGACGACTTGTAGCGGAAGGGTGTCGTCGCCATTGAACCAGGCACAATCCTTCAGACACGAAACATATCACAAAAAAACAAACAACTGAACAGCAGCCAGTAGCAGGAGCAGCAGTCATTTGGCCCACCTTATTATGTGAATCAGCTTTAGCAGCGGCAACAGCATGTTCTAGACAGGCGTTGAACAGATGTTGCATCAGATATTTGGCTTCAATCAGATTCGAACAATGTTCAATCAGTCCTTCGATATTACTTAATTCCGTTGATTCATCGTTATTTTCCATGTCTCCATCCTGAAAAACAATCTCATCATTACTAATAGAAGGCATAATTAGTCAATAAACAACACATAAACAACTCTCGCTCTGTCTCTTTGCTATTCAAAATCGCGACCTTCATCGAGCCCAAGAGTAACCCTTCCTAGCCGATTTTCGATCTCTCCTCAAGTTTGAGCTCTACCCACCCTCTCTCCCATCTCAAGAACGAAGTCCTCAGTGAAGACACTCATTCAATCAGATTCCTTTTGAGAATAGTTCCACTTTTTTGGGCTGATCTTTACTTTGGCATGAAAACCCTTTTCCTATCGATAATGAAGGCCAGAAAAGGCAGTTATTGTAGCTAATTAGTAACTTAGTAACTGCTTCTGAAGAGTTCTGATTTCTCGTCTCCGTGGAACGAATGAAAACACTATAATTGACAGACTTGCAACAATATATCACTCCATCATCATGGAAACGAACTCAAAGCTTGTTTACGCTTCAGCTGCCATGGAATTTTACATTAACACTCACATTTTTTTTTTGATTAAAGTAATGTTATTTACCTCAAAAATTCGGAATATTCCATCAAACATAACTCTGGACTTCATTTTCCCCTTGGATTGCGAGTTTTAACAGTCCTGGACAGCTCATCCCTTTCTTTACCCTGATCTGGCTTGTACCACCCCTCTACGTTCTTTGATTCCCTTTGGACATAGAACCTTGCTGATGAGAACGCTCCCTTTTGTAAGATTAGTTCCGCCTGCACATAGGCATTCATTACCGGCTTTGCGGGGCGCATTATTCAGGTTCCCGAGAGTTGATTAGCTTGGAAAATCGACGGAAGACACCCGGGAAGTTATTACTAGTAAGCCACATTGAGGTGTAATATTCGAGCACATGTCAGTTACTATTATCTTTGGGCAATACTGCACGATAGTTCTTGATAGTGCTTGCAGACTTTCCTAAAACTCATTAGATAGCCAGGCATCATTACTTCAGTAATTGCCACACCCATCTATACCTATGAATTGATTGGTGTTCTCTTTCTCATCGTTTAAGCGGCACGAGAGCAATCAACCCTCACCAAATAAAGGAGGAATAAAAGCTTCCCCTTGAAATCGTTCCATGGAGAAATATGGGAACAATGAGAGAACGGCCTGAGCAGTTAAGCTCCGAGCCTTCTATCCCTCCAAAGGAATTCGATGCCCGGAAGTCTGTTGACCTACGCCAACTGGCGTCGACGCTATTTTTCTTCCGTCGCCGACTTCAGTAATGTGAAACGTACATCCGGCTGTTGCCAGAACAATCACTCCTCAATGATGATCGTGATAGCAACACAACGACGACAACGACAACGTCGCTCCGATTCTAATTGGTCATGCGTGAGGGTGGAATTTGCGGTTGTTGACATCTAGTGCTGCCTCAGGCTCAGCCAGCCACTGCCGCCAGCGCCATCGCTGCTGCCGTCGCCGCCTCAGTCTCAGCCATCTCAACCCATGTGCCTCTTCAACATACACTAGCCATATGACTGACTCGCCCACATTCGCTTCCACTGGGATACACTTTCCACAAGTAGTTGCGCTATGTCATTAGTGCCTTCCCGACCACTTACTACTCGTCTAGCTTTGATTCTAATATGGTTTCGATTCGTGTCGTTTCAGACCTAATGACTTACTAACATCATATTTCATCTACAGCAATAGACAGCAAAGTCTCCTGTCGTGTACTTTCTTTGATTGATACTTGTCCGACATCCACACACGTACACACACACACATATGCGCCACTCCTCACAGCCGCCATTAGTCCCATATTACACCGATTCGGAGGAAAGCCGTCAGCCACGCTAGCGGACGGGTGAGGGTGGTGCTATACGTGAGACACGACGAAGGTGCGCTATTTGTGTCCGATTTCTCCGCGTTTTTTATCTCATTATTACCAAAAATAGGCTATTATCATAATGTATCATGCGGTATCACTCGTTATCATTTGGAACGTTTACTTTTTAATACTTATTCTATAGGGAAAAAATGAAAAATTCCTTAGAGAAACAACTTAAAAACCTATTTTATCCTATATAGGCTTCAAATTTCGATCTGGGACGATCCCAAATGAAGCCATCCGCTTTCTGAAGGGTCCGGATGAGAGTTCCGAGCTATTTTGGGACGCTTCCCATTTTACCTACCTAAATGCCATCGTCAATGCAGTGTTTTGAAGTAAATGCTTTTATCGACCTTTCTGACGATCATTCCTCTGAGTCGTTCACATTTTTCAAAACGATACTGCCCAGTAAAGTTCCTGCCACCTTTACATGAGAACGAACACCGATCACTGCCGATTTGTTTGCTATACATACATTTCCTCGTTGTCGTTGTTCATTTACTTGCGTCTCCAGCTTCATTGCCAAATTGGATTCACCGAATTCTCCACGACGAGATGCTGCTATCTGCCTGTCGGTCGTCGTACCCATAACTCATTCGCCGTCAACTTCCCATATGAATCCAACCCGATTCAATATAATCCTATTCCAGGCAACGAACGAGTACCTTTTTTGCCGAAAAACGTAATAAGTGAAACCCCAGGAACAAAAACAACAACAATAAACAACAAAGGACAGCATCATGACATCTACCGAATCAAGACCTTCCACTACTTTGGGCGCTGATCGGAAGCGTTCCAGTATTGTGAAGGTAAGCGGAATAACTCTTCCGAGAAGTTTTCTGGAATTTGAACTTCCAGTAAGTTCACTTGGGTTATTTCACCCTTTCACGTCATTACCGTTCGAAGAACTTCATTCCATTGGATTCTTAATTGGCACTTCTTGCCGGGGAGGGTCCGATGTGCGCAAATATTAACCTGATCTTCTCATTTAAGGGAAGTTTTCAAAGCGATTCCGCGCTTTATGGTGGAAAAACTGGAGTGAAGCAAATCTTAACAGCACCATCACAATCCCACTCACGAATGACGCCCGGTGGACAGGTGCGCTTTAGATCGTGTATTCGCTGATTTTTTTTCCACCTCTGAGTTTCTGAGGCATTTTTACAAATAGCCAAGGTTAAAAATATCATCAATCGATAATCCCATCCTTTCAGACATTCCTCTGCGTCATGGGTTCCGTTATCAGTATAGCAATTTCTATTTGGTTAGCAGCATTCAGTCGTGAACCAGGATGGAGGAGAGCCGTATTCGCTACCGGTGCCGCTATGTGTGCTGTCATGTTCGCCTTTCTTGCCTTTATGACGATTAGGCGGGCAAAACAGTGAGTTTTGATACTTCCCTTCCTTTGAGTGTTTTTGGGTTTAACTGAAGAATGGAGCCAGAAAAGCGGAAAGAAACATTTTGGACAGATGCCAGAAATGATCAATTCACATTCTCGGGGAGTCTTGTGCTTCTCGCTGGGTTGATAAATTACACTCCAAAGGGAATATCAGGCAGGCGAGGGAATCTGTTGGCCATCTCTCCGTCCCAGCTCTTCTGGGGTGTGGGAAGAATCCCACTAGGGGAGTGAATCAATCCACAGCAAACTGAATGGTTGAGAACATACTATTGAAGAATTGTTCGGTTCCCTACCATATTCACTTTCAGAATTCACTTAGTAGGAACTCCCGATGATCGAAATTTTTCCTTTTTTCCCGGATGCTCCACGTCCCATACGCTTCCCGGCCCCGGTAACCTTACCGGATTACCTTGGGACTAAGGTAGCGCATGCCTTCTGAATACACCTTCTGGTATAAAAAGTTACTTTTACGAGTTTTGTTTATCAAAATGGTCCCTATTTCAGTCCGCCTGAACCCGAAGCACTTCCGGATTTATCACAACGTCGTTCAACAATCGGTGCACGGGTCAGCAAGAGGTCCATAGCTGCAGCGGGTCTAACTTCAGGAGGAAGTGACGACTGTCCGACACAGGTGTGACACCTACACAACACAACCAACCCTCACTCCTCTATGTGTCCCGTTTCCGTTACAGTTTTTTTGCCACAGATATGCCGGACATGTACGTGTGTCCTTCCATGCGTTTTTCCCTTTTATTGATCCACGACTTTCCCTGTTTTGCAATTTCCGTCACACCTCCTTGTCCTGCTTTTTTATTTGTTGAATGATCGTCACTTTTTTTGGCTTTTTCTCCCTTTTTCGTTTATCCCTTTAGTGGTTGCACTTGGAGTCTTATAAAAGCGGTATCGATCGAGTAAATCAGATTGAAACAATCGATATGTGCGAGCTAGTGGCATGGTGTAACTACCGAATTCAGTTTTTTCGTCAGTTCACAGTAAATCACTCCATATGTTCGTCCACATGCATGCCCCAATCCCTGCTTTTTGTCAAAATAAACAAAAAACAACACAAATCAATTATTTGTCATAAACAAAGCTATTGCTCTCATTCTAGGTGCTTGTTGCCGGAGCCAAGACACATCCGTCATTGACAATTGGGTAACCATACAACTACTACTACCCAAAAGATTTTAGAAAATTCCACACGGGACCGCTCATTCGACACGTAAACAGACAATATTGCCTAACCATTACATAACATAAGCTATTACGATGTTCACTTTATTGATATCCTTTTGATATATATTGATACTAACCCAATGACGGCCACCGTCCCACTAGCTCGTATTATTCCATATTATCACTAACTATCACAAAGTATCACTAACTATCACTAACTATCGTTACACAAATAGAGAGGGATGGGCGAAAAAATCGAGAACCAGCCTCGTCTAACAATTTTGACTATGGTGTTGTTCATTTTTATTATAGTTTTCAAATGTCAATTTCTATGAGAGGCTTTCTATAATTAGCTTTATCTATGCATGTTTTCATTTTTTTTCTTTTCGATTACTTTTTTTTGGCCGACACGATACATTTCGAATCTCATTTTTAGTGAATTCTCCCGGTTCGAGTATGGTGCATATAAATGTTAAATTACTGTATAACGTTGAATGCCCACAAGTATATTACTATTATGATGAGTTTTTTTGGCGCTTTTTATATGTACATAAATTTGTTTTTCTCATATCTTTCATAACACTATGCACTCAGCTACTACCACCCTTTCCTACCCACATTATGCCGTATAGTGATGAGTTGGAAAACTTTTTTCACGAAACTTTCAGTACCTACAGTACTTTGTAGTACCGAAATTGCCACGCCGTTCGTATATCTGTGTTCCCTTGATATTTTTGCATGTTTTTCGTTCTTTTTCTCGATTAAGTTTTATAAATTGAGAGGAATTAAGTCGATTGTGCTTAACTGACAAAATAGCGGAAATACGGCGTGGTGGTCTTTGCGACGAGCCGGAACAAATCAAGCTATGGCTACCCGAGCTATGGCTAGCATGTCCATTGAAAACGCCCACATATAGCCAGCCAGTCAGCCAGCCAGCCCGGCTCAGCTAAACCAGCCAGCGAAGCCGCCTGTGTGCACTTAGTATTGTGCTCACAATGACACTAATTGCATCAAAGTAGGCTTCTTCTTCGGCCCATACGGCCCCCGAAGACACCCGCAAACATTCAGCGGACAGCGGAGGCGAAACTGCCAACGGCTTTCAAGGTTTTTTCTACTTAACGAACAAAGCTCTCAGACTTAATCGTGTTCACGCCTAAGAAATAGGGATTGGAACAGCAACTTTCTAATCTCTTCCTTACTGCTGTCGGGAAAACGTCCAGTACTGACAGGGCCGAGGATCCTCTGCAGGAAGTTAGGAATAGAGTCCTGTTAATTGACGCTACCTGAGGAAAAAGAATCGTCCACGTTCCATTACTGGTCCGATCTACTAGATGTCGGCAGAATATGGCCAATTTTAATTTTTGTTTGTCGTAACTAGTGAATATTCAAAGAAACTTAAAAATAAAAAGAAAAATTTTGGAATTTTGGGAAACTGAAATCGCAGGTCCCTTGCTGTAGGCAGTTACCCCACTACAATGACCTCTTTTTTCAAAAAAAAAAAAATATTTTGAGTAGATAAAAATGCTGACAGAAAGGAGTTTTCTTGGTGGATTAGCTTCTTTAGTATTTTTTAATGAGGGATTGGTTGAACTAAAAAGTGTTCCGGTGAAGTGAAGCAAAATTTTCTTCAAGAAAACCCTAAATTTTCAGTTAGAGCCCAATCAACTCCTGAAAAAGTTCCCAGACGATTCTTTACCGGGCATGGACATAGATCTTTTTGAACTCTCAACGGGAAGACGATTGCAACGGGGAAAAACCAAGTACCAGCAAAACAATTCCCAGTTGACCCACTGAATGATGTAAGCCGCCTAATTGGGTAACTTTGAACTTGTAACGATAATGAACTTCGAAAATGCAATAAATTAGGCTTTTTATCTCAGTTGAACTTTTAGAATCGCCTAATTGGACAGCCTACATCTGCGAGGGCTTCCATCAGGAAAAAAGGGAATTCTGCGAGGGCTTCCATCAGGAAAAAAGGGAATTACTGGAGAAGCCTGCGAAAGGGGAACTCAAATTAGGGAGTTCTCCGAAGTAAAAAAATGGAAACACATAGCTAGAACGAGGAGGAGGAATAGGGGAAAGGAAAGGAGGGGGGGGAGGACTCATTTGTTGACAAAGTTCCAAAGTTTACATGTGAAACTGTTACTACCTTCCTTCAGCCAAGATTCTATTAGTCTTCAAGAAGTGTCAGCCAAATGGCAACAATCTGACCCACTAAAAGGCAAAAAAAGAATTTTCAGAGCTGTGCAACGGGTTTTGGGATGCGCCATGCGTTCTACTTTGTGACCGTTACCTACTAAATATAACATTCGAAATTTTATTCCTACCTAATGCTCTCTTTCTTCCAGACATATCATGATCGAATTACCCTTTCCTTCACCCTCATATGATCTGTAATGCTGTTGTACTTCAAGGACTTTCGACGAGTGTTTCCTGCCAAGGTTTCTACAATCTCAAGCATCATCTGGACTTTCAACCATCTTCTCCATCCACCCATCCACATCACCTACATATTTACTATCATCGGATGTCTCCACGAGCTCGAGTTCGAGTGGGAGTTGTACTCATGACACATTCCAAACCCACTCAGAAAAAAAAAATCCTGTAGTGGCTAAAAAAAAATCGAGCGAGGCATCAGCGAAAAACTCGGGACTTGGTTCAAACTCAAACGGGATGGATAAAGGACCCGGTTCAAAATCTCTGGACCTCAGATGGGTAAGTCATCCAACCACTACATTGTTTGCTATATGGCCCTACTTGGGAGGTGTGACATCAAATATAACTTGAAAATCGGAAAATACGGGGAATTCAAGTTGAATATGAAACGTTCAGGGATTGCTGGTTACGAAACGTTAAACCCCGCCCGACTTCCGCCCATGGTACCATCTGGGAGTAGGTTACTCGAGACTGTTATGCCACTTCGACTCTATCATCATTCTGGCTTTTCCCGTCTAATCACATTGAAGGATCCGGATAAGAAAGACCCAAATCAATCCCATAAGCATATAATAAATGATAATTAATGAGGAGCTGGCAAAATCCCATGTTTCTTTCCATTCTGGGATCCTGCAAAAAGGAACATCTCACCACGTCATTGACGTGCAGCTATAAATTAAAATTGCTGTAGCCAGTACAAAACCCCATCCCAAGCACCTTTCTATCTCTTTTCCCGAATCCAATTACATCCTATTACCACTGAGAGGGTTAGGGAGAGAAAGATCGATAGGAATAAAACGATTTTTGGTCGATAAAAATGAAAAAGGTGTCAACATCCTTTGCGTACTAGACGTACATGCCCATAACAGATGGCGGTTGATCGTGAATCACCCGTCCATACTAGTAATACCCATTACCAAATGGCAAGGCGGACATAAAGTACATCGTTGTTCGAGCATACCCGAAAAAAAGCCGACGAACGAATACCCCCAAGCAATAACCCGACGTTCACACTCTCCTCCTTGTTCACCCTATCCTTTAGCAATCCATTTTCCTTCCCCTCTGCCTCCCTCCCTCTCTTTCTCCCTCCCATCCTTCTCTCAAATGAATCACCCACCCCACATTTCGTAGAACCATCACGAGGGAATGGGAAATACATGCTGACAAGTGCAATAACATGTGTCACATTTGGATAAACTCTATCCGGATCTGCGCTCTTCTCTAAAACATTTCCCATCTCAAGTTCTTTACACTGTTCTCATGTCGGTTCCCACAAAGAAATTGGAATAGGTCCTTTGGAAAGAGCCTCATATGACTGTCCTCTGGGGCCAGTTTTTACATCGAACTCGAAAATGGATGCGGGTGGAAGCAATTTTGGGAACTGCCACAAAACCAAATTAATTACCGCAGAATCGGAAGCAATTTTCAAAATTGGAAAAGGGCTATACACTTTTGTAAGAGAAACATTGTTCGGGAATCGGAAAACACCAGGAAACACCCAGAAGATCGGGGATCAAAATTTTTTCAACTCGATTTTTGAAAATTTCTCCTTTTATTTGATTTTTTTTCACCTTACAACTGCTACACAATTTACGGTTGTTCATGAAAGGAATGGAACGGGCTGTCTCCACAAATCAGGGCCTATGACCCCGAAACAAGGGGAAATCATAGGGTAGGTAAAGGGTAATGGATCGAAGGGCATATTTATGATCCGCTGTACAGACGAGGCTAGAGGTACATGGTCTGGAAAGAACATTCAAGTTAGGGGAGCCACATGGGCAGGAAGGCTACTGGGTAGGAAGGTTACAAGTATGAGTAGGTGATAATGAAGTGGAGAGAATCCATTTGCTCTTCAAGGGATAGGGGTTATAGCCCAAATAATAGGCAAGCAAGAAAACGGTTATAAAAAGAGCCCTGAAAACAGATTCCAGAAAATCTGGACAAAAACAAGTTCCTTACAGAGTAACTGGCTATGCCTGTGGTTGGGCTGCCTTTTGTGGAGAACACGCCATGCATTCATCTCCCATGTCTGAGCAACGATCTGCTTCTTTGAAAGACATTCCTGAGAGCGCCCAATGTTTCGTCTATGTTTCCATTCACACGAATAAATCAGTCGGCAACTGACGGGACCCGAAAAAATCTAAGATTTGTCTGGCCCTGATGGATTCGATCCCGACAAAATGAAGGGGAATGCTCTCGTCTGCGGGGTTTTCACGTTGTCATCTGAATGAATGAGAGATATATCCAGGCCAGCATCCTTCCTTTCATTCCGTAGCTCAGTAAAGCGCCTCCATGTGATGACGGGTTTTGTTTTTTTCTTGAGGGACAAAAACAAAAACAACTAAATACACTGAGATCGTAGTGAGACGATAATACGTACGTGATTGGGAACGGACCCGAAAAACAACACATAGCCCGAAAAGAAAAACAGATTCTCAATTACAGCAAGATGCTATTAGCAATAAGGCCGGGTAATCGGATATCATCAACCACTTGGAGCTTTTCTATCGTCAGACCATTTTTTAGACAACTTCCAATGAAACCACCGCCACCACTTACCTCCGAAATGGCTAGGTATCAATTGGGTAAAAGCCATTAAGCACATAACGATCTCTATCCGCAGTGAAAACTCATTACTTCTAATCAACGGCATACAATTACTCGAACAGGTTACTCGAGAGTAAATGGAATAACAACATTCCTAAGAATAATTAACTTCCTCTTTGTAGAAAAACCAACTCAGATAGGAACTTGATGGCTTTACTTTCAAGGGAATACCTAATTTTCCGGACCATCGATCTTTCAGAAACGCTATATAGCCTCTCAAATGCCTCATTTTGTGCCATAGCCGACACATTTCATTTATTCAAGAAATTTGCATGAGAAATTTGAGCCGTCGAAATGAACCCACACCCGACTGACTGGGAGGCCTGGGAACGCTGTTAGGATGAGCAGCAGTGAAGAAGCATAACATGAAGCCGGCCCTCAGAAATCTTTCTTCCGAGAGCTGGATCGAAAAAATCTTAAAAAGGGTTCGAATTGAAGAAAAAGACAGATTTCCGTCTGAGACCTCAAATCCATTCGAGTATCCACAGGTGGAATCCCCAAGGTAAACCCTACTCAGACATCGATTCTATTCTTTGATCGATCCCAGTTGATTAATCAACGACGAGACGTAACGGATTTAGTTTACACTAAACAAATCGTCCTCCACGAACCACTTTACTAATGAGTGCTTCTTTCCGCCACTGTTTCATCCCAGCTCCACGAAGAACAAAACAAAAACGACCTTTTTGTGGGGATATGCAAAGTTCCGCACTCCTTTTTGAGTTCTTTTTTTCCTGACTTTGTAAAACTCAATGGAATCTAATGAAAAACAAAGGGTCCCATATTCACATCCAGCTAATGGCTTAACAGGATTAGGACCAAAGCAACTAATTCGGGTAATGATGAAACAGAAGTATTTCCTGACTCCAGAAGGTTGGTATAAGCCATTACTGGTGATAACACTCGGTCTATCTGGCCATCAGAATGACAAGTCCCTTCATAAACNTTCATCCTACAGAATCACCACGTTCTTGATCTCTCTGGAAAGCATTTTCCCAGGAATCGAATAGATGATGTTAGCGCAAAATCGATACCCATCTTAAAGCATACATTAAATTAAGCGGACGAAAAGTATGAAGACTCTTCGGATTCAATGAAACTAATTCGCTAGTAGCTGATGACTCGCCATGAGGTGTCTCCTTAACAAGCACCTACACATGATGGTTGGTGCTCTATCGTTAGTTCCTTTACGTTATTGTCGAGGCTTGTCGGGAGCACATACTCAGCGCTTGGGCTATTTGCTGGGAACCATGCACGTAGATAGTTACAGATGGATTCTCCAATTTCCAACAAAACCTCAGCGAGTGTAAGCGCTCATAAAAGACCTTCTACGAGCTGCGATGATGCCGAGTGTTCCCTACCGGAATGCTGACTCTTCCAGAACATCGGTTTTTCCCTCAGGTACACCAGTCGTTATACTAACAATTATTAGTAAAAATCCTCGAAAACAACCTGCAGCGACTAATCAGAGGGACCATTCCATCATCCCTAATTCGTTCACGAGCCCAATTTTTTCCACAATATCGACCATTGAGGCGCACGTCGCCTTGGAATTACTCAAGCTCACAAAAATTGATTTTTTCGTAGAATTGTCTTCAACATTATTGCATCCCCATGAAATTGGACCCAGGCTCTTCCCTTTTGTCTCAAAATAATCCCACGCTCACATTTCAGCACAAAACCACGTAATATAAAAAGTTCACTATAAAAAATTGTTAAAAGGAAGGTCTAGGGTGTAATTTTCGCTAACCTTTCCTCCGTCCATATCCGTGATCGCCGTCTGGGTTTCTGTGATCTGGTCCATAACGTATCGGATCTTCTGTTGGCAACCGTCGATTTGATCAGCAACGGCTTCTCGTTCACTGACATCGGCTAGCGATATGAAGCGATGTTCCTGAAAAACTCCGAGTATAAACGCGGCCAAAACTAGCCAATAACTCGCCAGAGTGACATTCTCTGCCCGAATGGCCCAGAGCTTCCATTTTGGAAGATTTTTTTTGCTTGGAAATTTCGCAGATCAGCACAGTCAATCGAGCCCGTTGGTTTCCTTCTAGACCTTCACCTATTCAACCATTTTCGGGTATTACCGTCGGGATGTTTTCGCTTCAGCCTTCCTCTGTGTATTGAGGATTGAGCAATGTTTTCCGAATGCATAGATGAGATATTTCATATGCATGCATCGAAAGGTAATGCCAAGTGCGAGGGCAGCTTCGCCCTCATAGCGTCGTGAACTAACAACAAACAAGTCCCTCTTCATTTCGGGACCTTCCTTTCAGATTGTAGCTGAGGGACTGGGTGGATTAGTTTGA